GGTGTTGTGGTATAATTTCGACTATGGGAACAACTTCCTCGAATTTATGTAATAGTAGCCTTTCTAATACTTTTGACATTATTGAGAGTAGGCTTATAGAGCGATATAAATTTGCTTGCGTTGCGGGCTTATCAGGTTTCGGAATCATAGGAACTTGAGAAAATTGTCATTGTATTGAAAAGTATCGAAGACGTAGTATGCTATTGTATATTATTGTTAATAGCACTATTGCTTTTCTCTGTAGCTTCTGAAGTAATTCCCCTGTTATCAAATCATAGATAGGAGCTTTCTTAGGATTTAGCATTTTTATTTATTGCCGAACCTCTTTCGGAGTAAATGTTGTCTTAGGAAGAGATAGTTGACATGGAGTTTCGAGGTACATTCTTATATCATCATCTTCATCGTTATAAGTATCAGGTGTTGCGAATACAGTTTCAAGATGCTCAGTGAATACTGTTGTTTTTTCTGCATTTGTGCGTTTATGCAGGTCATATCTATTTTTCTTAAAGGTGAATTTGTTATTGTAGGTCGTTTAAACTTTTTTGTAGCTTTCCAAATAGAGTGGTCTTTATGTGAGAGGTTTGAAAGATAAAACTGGAAAGAGTCGTTTTTTTCTTCATGTAATGCTCTATTTAGTCTATGGCTTACCTGTTAAGGTACGTTTTATTTATTGGATTTTTCGTTTGTTGCCCTATATATCGAGCTCTTCTTTTTTCTGCTACCAGTTCTCTTATATGAAGGGGGATATAATGGTTTTCCTGCACACTTCTTTGGCGCTGTGGTGTTGCTTCCCAACCTGTTGTTTGTAAAAACTGTTGTTAAATAGTCTACTGCTTTCTCTACATTTTATTTTTTATAATCCTAATATCTAATCTAATTTTTAAATTTACAGAATTTGGAAAACTTCCACTTTGTTTCTTTAGTTGTGAGTTTGGGTGGTAGTGTCCTTCATATTATGTGTGTACTTAAAGTTTAATATTATTGTACTGTGATCTGATGTTAAACCAAAATTTGACTCTATTGCAGTATGGATGTCAGATATCCCTTTTGTTACAGCAAAATCTACCAAATCTGGAATTTTGTTGGCATCCGTAGGGCAGTATGCCCATAGACAAGTATTTTAAGTTATTTTGTTGGACCATATTCATTAATGCTCGGCCTTTAGGCGTCATTAATCTGGATTCGTTCCAGTTTCCTGCTACTATGAATTTTTATCCAAGAGTTTGTATAAAATCATGATACTCTTCGCTTGAAATTGGATGTCTATGTGGACTGTAGATAATACACTGAGGGAGGTGTTTGTTTCGATTTTAATGATTGCTGTTTAAATTTTTTCAGTAACATAAAGTTGAACTGCATAGTGTTAATGTTTGATTTGATAATAACGGCAGAACCTGCATGTGCTGCTCCATTTGGATGGTTTGCATAATACACAGTATAGTAAGGTATCTTAATAACCGGTTTTGTGTGGCAGGGCTTTCAGATATTAATAGAATGTCTATATTACACATTTTTAAAAACAGTGATATCTCTAATATATGGTTTGAAATGCCATCTGAATTCCACGACACATTTCGTAGTTGTTTGAAAGCTATTTTGTTATTTTGTCAATGACTGTAGTTAACATGGTTAAAATCATGCTATTTTGGTTTAAGAGTTTAGAGACCCTATTTTTGAATTTGTTGAGGAAATTTGATAGTTTATCAGCTAATTCATTGATATTTTTGTTATATGTATTTATGTTTTCAATGGTAGCATCTATATAACTGATTCTGTTTGATTAGATTATTGTTGTTGGGTATCGCCACATCAATTAGTATTGTTTGTCCCTTTAGTTTATTAACTAGTATGATATCTGGTCTATTATGTGCCACTGTTTAGACTGAGAGTGCAGTGCGGTCTCAGTATAGCTGTAGTTGTCATTCTGAACTATACTTTCAGGAATATATTGATAATATGTGAGATAGTTTGTTTGGAGAAGTCGTAGTTTGATGGTTATCTCTTGATGAAAAATCTTTCCTACTGAGTCGTGCCGTTCGTTATATTCAGTTGCAGCAAATGCCTGGCAGCCCCCGGCAAGATGTTGAAATGTTTCTTTTGCTTGACATCCATATCGGAATTTGTCATTTTGGACCTAAGGGTCTCTGACAATTTATTTCAGGTAATTTTTGGTTGGTATAACCTAATCCTGAATGGCGAGTAATGAACCTTCTGTTTCAGGGAACATCTTTCCTGATGTCAGCCAATAGTTCAACGCTATATTGCGACATTTTCTTGACTGACCTCATTGGGATGTCGCCCGTGCAGAGATTTACTCATCCAGGTGCGCATTTTTCATCCTTAGTAAGATGGTCTATGCGCATTTCTGGTTCTCTTAGTTTGATCGGTGTTGTATAATCTACTGCACAAATCGCGCGATGTAAAGTAGATGTCTCAGCCTGGACCTGAAAATAAGATCTTCAATTAGTAATCTGTTTTTCTAGTTTCTCACTTATATCCATTAAGTCTTCGTCCGTCTAAATACCGCGGTAATGTCGTTCCTTCTACTGCACTTCGAGGATGGTGTTTTTGTGCCTTTGTGAGGGGTGTTGGAACTTTTCGTTGAATATTTTCTATATCCGTTTTTCTCCACTTAACAATACCAAATGAGTAGCTAAGCGCGGAACATGCGTAGGTGTTTAGTGCCTTAAATAATTGTTTACTATTAAGGTGTGAACGAAGCAGCTGTTTTACCCTGCGTATAAACTCAGTAGCTATCTCAGTTTTCATTTCCTTATGGTCAATCTTCGGCGCTTGCGTTATCACGAGGTATTTATACATATCATTTTGACCCATTGCCTCGATGTTATGACGGTGCTGTACCTTTCCTTTGATTATATTTAAGAAAAGGCACTTGTCAAGACCGAAGTGCATACTAATATCATTAAAGAAATTTTCTACTGTTTTCAGCATCTAACTCAGGTGGCTTCTAGTTATTATTATTAGTCAGATTTAGCCATACGGCTCACACTCCCTCTAAGAAGAAAATTCACTCATCCCAGATAACTACAGTATCAAAAGGATTGAGCTCTGGTGTGACTCTTTCCATGTTATCGAGTCCTAGGTGCCTTGATACGTCGGTGTATCTCCCAAAAATTTTCGCACGCCGAAATTAGTACAGCTTTCTACATGATGTTATATAGATGTTCATTTCGACCCAGCTTTTTTATGTTTTCGAGGAGGTTCTTCGGAATAACTCCAGTTAATAAGTGTTATCATTATTATTATCCCATCCAGATTTAGCCATACGGCTCATACTCCCTCTAAGGGGAAAATTCACTCATCCCAGATACCTACGGTATCAAAAGGATTGAGCTCTGGTGGGACTTTTTCCATGTTATCGAGTCATAGGTGACTTGGTACGTCGGTGTATCTCCTAAAAATTTTCGCACGCATCTGGACGTCGAAAGTAGCACAGCTTTCTGCTTGATCTTATATAGTTGTTCATTTAGACCCAGCTTTTTTATGTTTTTTAGGAGGTTTTTCGGAATGACTCCAGTGGTAGAAAGAATAATAGGTATCATCTGGGTACTTTCCATTCTCCATTGTCTTCTTATTTGTATTTCCAGATCTCTGTACTTGGCGATCTTTTCGTTGTACTTAACACGCAGACTGTTGTTGTTAGGTATCGCCACATCGATTAGAGTTGTTTGTCTTGTTAGTTTATTAACTAGCACAAGATCTGGTCTATTATGTGCTACAGTTTGGTCTGTGAGCACAGTGCGATCCCAGATTATTATCCCATTATAATTAATATTATTATTATCTCAGATTTAGCCACACGGCTCACACTCCCTCTAAGAGAAAAATTTACTTATCCCAGATATGAAAAGGATTGAGCTCTGGTGGGACTCTTTCCGTGTTATCGAGCACTAGGTGACTTGGTATGCTGGTGTATCTCCCAAAAATTTTCCTACACATCTGGACGTCGTGAGGAGTACAGCTTTCTCCATAGGCTTATAAAGATTTTTATTTAGACCCAGCTGTTTTATGTTCGCTAGGAGGTTTTTGGGAATAACAAAAGTAGTAGATAGAATAATAAGTACGGTCTTTCCATTCTCCATTGTCTCCTGATTTGTATTTTATCATCTAGATTTAGCCATACGGTTCACACTTCCTTTAAGGGGAAAATTCACTCATCCCAGATACCTACGGTATCAAAAGGATTAAGCTCTTTTGGGACTCTTTCCGTGTTACCGAGCCCTAGGTGAGTTGGTATGCTGGCCATCATCGGCATAGCATAGTATCGTGATTTTATGCACTTACATGTGGTATCCGTGTCGTTTTATTACTTCGTGAATTATTTGATTCATCACCATATTGAAACGGGCTAAGCGAGTACTTCAGGTAAATAAAAAAAATCGCCTTGAAAGCAGCAATAAACAATTTTAAACACTTTTAAAAGGCAAAAAGACGATGTTCGATTTTTATAATTTATATAAAGAGTAAAAGAAAATCCTACAGTATCCTTTCTAAGAATATTACGACGTTTTTTACACCTTTATCTATTTATCTATTTCCTTCGTCACAATTATTGCTATGTCATTTTTGTGTTTTCAATTATCTTTTTCTTATTATCTTTATTTATTATCTTGTCAATCTTTACTGGTTCGTACATGTTTCTTATATTCCATGTACCTATTTATTGGTTCCTTTAAAAACTTTTCTTTCTTTAGAACTAGACGTATACAATAACAAGTTAATTGAATAAGTAAATCTATAAATAATAAAATTAATTTATAAATAATTGATTTTCCAATATCAGTATTACTTGTTCCAAAAAATATAAATCCCCAATAATAATCAGTACAATAGTTTTGAATAATCTCTAAATTCTATATAAAAGACATCTACAAGATATCTAAAAATTACCACATTTAACTCCAATCTCCCCTACTTTCAAAAATGTTTGAGAAGTGAATATATATTTCCATCTCCTAAACAATTGAATACTCAACAGTTCTACGGTCAACCTAGTTGAAATAACACCAAGCATAATTGTTAAACATAAATGATAGTGTCGATTAACATACTTAATTTGTTGATAACAATTTTTAATCGCATCTCAAATTATTCACGTTTAGTTGATGAGTGAATCGGTTACGGCTTCTTCCACAATGGATTGTTACAGCACGAAGAACATTTTGGTGCTTTACGTTGGAGGAACCATTGGAATGAAAAAAAATAATAACGGGGGTAGGTTTTATTTCTTTGCTTTTGTTTCTATACTTTAGTAAAAGAAAGATATTCTATTTAAAAAATGAATTGATATTAAATGCAATCCAATGGTTATATAATAGATAACAGCTAGCTTTTTATCAAAACAATGAAAGTTAAATTTAAAATCCGATCTTCAGTTAAAAGTAAATAATTTTTAAAATTAATTTTGCCCTTTATATATTTTTGTTGGTGTACCCATATATTAACAGAGATTTCTTAGAATATGAATTTATTCCAATTTTTGACTTTTCTTAGTTCAATTAAAGTATTTAATATTAAATATGTGAAGATATATTACGTTTAAACCATTAAGGGGTCGAAAGGTTCATATTCATTTCTTACGTATAATTTATAAATAATTCATTCTCCAGTATCAGTATTACGTGTGCCAACAAAATACAAATCTTAAATAATAATTATCAGTCAATCATTCGGAATAATCTCTAAAGATATCTTAATATCTTAATACTGCGTTTGGAGGTAATTTTTGTTGTTTGTTTTGTTTGTTTATTTTTAACCAGCAGAAACAATTTTATATATATATATATATATATATATATATATATATATATATAAATATATATATATATATATATATATATATATATATAAAAATATATATATATATATATATATATATATATATATATAAATATATATATATATATACTTCTAGCGGTTAATGTAGGCTCCGTACTAAAACGGTATTATACTAACTCCAGTAGAATATACACCGTGTATATTATTATCTGAGTAGCGCTTTATGTAGACTCCGACCAACATGTAGGAGTAAGTGGACTCCACAGCAGGATAAAACATTTTTGGGATCCGTATTTACCATTTTGCGTACACTTCTTAACTCCTGCGATGTTGCCAATAATTGTATTAGTAGTAGATTTTCAAATTTTACAGCAGCTACATTTTGGAACTTGAAATATATTTAAATATCGATCAATTTAGTCATGGAGGAATTTCATGAATATTTTACTTAAACTTATATTCGTCAACATCTAAAATTTAATCATAAGTAAATTCATTTAAAAAACTTTATTATTCTACATTTTTAATAAGGAATAGATTTCGAGTTCAATACAAATTACCCAGCCAGAACAAATAAGGAGGGATTCTTGATAGGATTATCTCCTGGCAAGGACAGAACTAAAAACGGTATACGAAGAAATATTCGAAAGTAAAAGTAAACATAAATAAATAAATAATAGCAATCTGTAATATTACAGCATTAAACAACAAGGGAAAAACTGGTAACAGAATTAATAGATTAAATTGTCATAAGGACATGTGCACCATTTAAATGAGGCAAAAAGGTCACAGGACAGAAATAGTTAGGCCAATACCTCACTCATATATGCCAGAGCTCCAACAACAGCAATAAAACCATACGATAAGGAATAAATAACATTAAAAATGTTAACTGCGTCTCTAAGCAAATCCTAGTGGATGAAACAAAAACGCAACAATATAGATTAAAAATATCAAGTATATGTGGGCCCTAGGAAACGCTACCAATACAAATCAGAGTTAAATATTTCGAAAATCTTAAACAGATGGTGAGAATAAAAACAATAATTGCATTAATCACCATGAAAGATATAAATACAAGATTTGGTAACGACATAGTACCAGGCATGAAGTAAATCTGTGAAAGTATACAAAATAAAAATGGAGAACACTTAAAAATTTCTGCGCCTAAAATGACTACAAAAATAATAACACATTTCAGTAAATAAGATCAACAAAATTATACTTTTACCAAGCGGACACAAATCGCTGATATAACTACATTTTGAAAAACAAAAATTTTCATTAGAAACAAGTATTAAACTGGAAAAAATTCACTGTGAAAGAAAACAATTTTATTATAAACAAATATAAACAAACCATGAAAATTTAATGAGTGGAAGGAAAAAATTATCAAATTAGGCTAAAGCACTATATGAAACAAAAGAACCAAGTGGGAAAAATATTAAACTAATTTAAAAAATTAGAATACTATCATAAAAACTGAAATAAAAGAGACTGTTTGAGAAAAAGAAAATAAACTCATCTATCAAAAGAGGTATCCCATGGAAAGCGCTATACTAAGAACTGGCATTTCACGTTGTGCTAGTAACCTGAAGAAATGGGGATACCAGGAGGACGCTACCTGCGACTGTAGCGCGGTTTAAAATAGTCACCATCTATCATGCACAGAGATGAGAGAACCATTGGAAATACAAAATTTAAAGCTGTTGGTGTTCCAGACACGGAAAGTAAAGTAAGTATAAAAAGAGGTAAATGTAAAATGCCAAGAAAAATAAAATACTTATATAATATATAGACCTGCAAGTGCGCCGGAGGGTTTGAAACAAGAATTTACCTAATATAAAACAGATGTGAAAAAGGACAAAAAATAAATCAAAGAATTAATAGAGATTACGTACATCCTTAAAGAGATATGAATAACATATCTCAGTAACATCTCAGTAAAATAAATCAAAGAATTAATGGAGATTAAGTACATCGCTAGAGAGGAATGAAAACATTTCTCAGTAACATATCTCAAATCCGCCTGCAATTTTATTGGGTGAATCCAGTAGCTCGACAGAACTGTTATCGGTCCCAAGCCCGGATAAATAAGGAGGAGGTCTACAGCCAGTTTAGCACCCTACTGATAGACTTTAAAACCATACAGTTCATAGAAACAGGATTATGCCTCAAAACAGGAATTACTTTATTACGACAACTAACGGGAGAAAGAGGACAACGAGTTTATGGTAAACGAGAAATATATTTTGTATCGGTACTTGGTACGTAAAGTTTTTAAACACAAGAGAACAGGAAATTACAAAAGAGCCTGTAAAAAAATATAGACATATGTGCGCTAAAAGATAAAAAGAAAAAAGAAAAGGGTCAACTTATTCTAGATGACTATCTGATGATTTACAGTGGTCTTGCGAAAGAAACCAGAGCCAAAGAAGGAGTCACCCTGTTAGTACACAAACATTTTTTACATTAAGTATAAGAATGTAAAAATACCTCTGAAAGAATAGTAAGTGTAAAAATTAAACTGGATATCAAATCTCTGAATGTGATAGCAATCCATGCACCAGAGAACAACAAAGATGCCACCACAAGCGAAAACTTCTACGAACACCTTCAGACTATAAAAAAACGAGACCACAAATGATGAATATATAATCATTATATATTCATCATTTGTTGTGTTGGCAATGATATAGTTCCAGGAATAAAACAGCGATATAATGAAAATATCAGAAATTAAAACGGAAACTTTCTGACGGACCTCAGCAGCATAAACGAGATACATATTAATAATACATTTTTCCTTCAAAAAGAACAATACAAATACACTTTTGAAAACAGTAGAGGACAAAGATCTATGATGGGCTATATTCGGTCGAATAGAGAATTATTGACCTCATAAATCTTGAATGTAAGAGCACTAATATCAGCAGAAATAGGAAGCGATCAGAAATTGGTATTGTACAAAATCCGAATGAAAACACATATATGTGATTGATTGAACAAAATACCAGAATACACTACAAAGATAAAACTCGAAAGCTTTTAGGATGACTCCACAAGATACCTATTCCAAAAAATAATAACCAAAAAAAAAGCAGAAACACATGTTTCACAGAAAGTGATGGAGTCGAAGAAAGCTGGGCAAAAATGGGGTCTAATATCCTAGCCTCGGCCAAAAAAGTTCTTGGTGAAAGAAATATAAATAAAAATAAATCTTTGCCAAGGCGAAGAACTCCATGGTTTTGTACAGAGAAGTGAAGGAAAAATGTAAAGAAAATAAAAAAGCTTACCTGAAATACACGTCAAAAAAAAATACAAGAGGCATACCATAATTACAAGATAATTAGAAACGAAACTCATGAACTTATCAGAAAAATAAAAAATGATCACTAGGAACGTTTTCCGAAAGAAATGAAACATATTTTTACGGTCTACAAAAGGAAATAGGGCGCTTCATAAGAGGTCAAAGAATGGAGGTAAAGAAACTAATAGAACTAAAACACAAAGAAAGGATACGTGGATTGACTACCTAAAAAGGCTATATGCAGGAGAAGATCAAACGACGCTGAAACCGGAAACACCAGATATTACCACAAATAAAGAACCTAATATAAATGTACAGGAAGTTCGGAAAATACTTGAAAATCTGAAAAATAGAAAAGCAGAAGGTAAAGACGAGATACCAAACGAGTACTGAAATATTTTGGAGCAGCAATGACAGAACAATTACCAACATTACGTAATACAATTATAAAACAAAATAAAATACCGGAAGAATGGAGAACGAGCGAACTAATTCTACTAGTCAAAAAAGAAGATAAAAACAAACCAAAAACTACAGTGGTATAAACTTGTTAAATACTTCACTAAAACTTACAACTAAAATTTTACAAGTGCTAATAAATCAGAATATAAGTTAAGCAGATAAACAACCGGATTTTTTTTAGTGGAAGATCATGTACAGATGCAATATTCGCTATAGAGCAAATTGCTCAGAAATCACTAGAGTATAATAGATCAGCATTTCTGTGTCTGATTGACCTACAGAACCGTTTGACAGAGTAATACTGAAATATGTAATCCACATTATGTATAATAGAGTAGCTCCCCTAAATATTATAAAAACTATCTGATGAAAGTACTGAGAAGATTACAGAAATACGCTGAGAAATCGAAAGAGAAGTTGAAAACATTAAAAGAAAATTTACCGTACAGTGTATAAATATATGGACACAAAATAAAAGTAAAAAATGGAATAGCTACATAAGCAAAATGGAGGAGACTCGTGTCGTCAAAATAGCAAGAGATAAGTCACCAATCGGCAAAAGAAGTATCGGACGACCGCGCAAAAGATGAAGTGACAACCTTCCATAAAGGTATTAATCCGCCAATGAACAAGCAGAATTGCTTATTGTGAAAAAGAAAAAAAA